GTGTGTGTGTGTATATATATATATATATATATATATATATATATATATATATATATATATATACATATATATATATATATATATATATATTATAATATATTATATTTTATATTGTGTATTTACTTATTTTTGTTATTCTGTCTGTTTCCCATTTTTCTATTTTATTTATTACTTTTATTATTACTATTATCAATAGTAGTACAATAGTTCTCATATTTGTCATTTGTTTTACTTTTTAGTTTTTGTCTCTTCACTCATATTTTAGTTCTGTTTCAATGTAAGGGCTTGTTTTAAACTCTTTTAAACTATATTTTCCATTTATCTATTTTAATTTATTTATATTAATTTTAGCATTTCTATTTTTATTTGTATTAATTATTATTAGACTTAATATTTACCTTTTACAATTAGCTGTAGTTGTAATTGTTATTTATTTCTGTTATGTATTTTTACGTCTTGTCTTATTTCTCATATACTAGTTATATTTCAATTTGAGGTTTGTTTGAAATTGTCTCAATTTATTTATTTATTTATTTAAATAAATAAATACATTTAAGTGTTTTGTTGTTGTTGTTGTTATTATTATTATTATTAAATAACATTATATTATTATTTGTTTACCTGTAACAATTATCTAACATCACACACACACACACACACACACACACACACACACACACACACACACATAAAGTATATATATATATATATAATGTGTTATGATGTGTATTAAGTTTTAGTTGTCTTAAAATGTATAATATTAATATTATTTATTTAAATTGTTTATTTAAATTATTTAAAATCGCTTAACTTTCCTTTTGTTATATTTACTTCAATTCTAAATTGAAGTTTGTGTGTTTCTCTATCTTGAGTTTTTAATTGCATGTTCCTAATAACGTTTTCAAATCAAGCACCAGTATAAAACAGCATCAGCCAGTGATGAACTTCCTGTCTCCCTCTCAGAGCATGAGAAGAACAGACTGTGCAAGAGCGCTGATTATATGAACCTGCACTTCAAGGTGAAGTGGCTCTACAACGAATACTGCAAGGAGCTAATCCTCTTTAAGGAGCGCGTGCCCGAATATCCAGCGTAAGAAACATTGGCTTTGCTCATGTTTTGTTTTGAGCACTGAACACAGTGGTCATCTGGGTATTGCATGCATGCAGAATATTTATATGATGTGTATAGACATGTGCCGATATCGAATAATATAATATAAACTGTGATAGTGAACATGCATGATATTGTCATTATGAGCACTTAACAAACTAAAGCAAGTAATTATTGATTATTAAAACATTTTAGCGTGTATTTTAAGAATATGCAGACTGTTTTATCCATATCACAGCAGCCAATGCTGGAAGGTTTCATTTGGTAATTGTTTTTAAACAGAAATCTTTTCACGTTTTGATATCAAGGTGGTCACTTTGAGTTTTTAATATGTTTTTTGATGTAGTTTTGACATCAAGATGCCCCTTAGCAGTCCTGGTTAATTGTGAGTCTGTTGTGTTTCTGTCTGGACAGATGGTTCGAGCCCTTCGTGATCCTCTGGTTGGATGAGAATGAAGAAGTTTCCAGAGATTTCCTACATGGAGCACTGGTCAGGGATGCAAAGGACGGGGTAAATATCAGCAGATTTATTAGTGACACGTTCAGGTTATATACAGAAAGGAGAGTTTTAACATCTTTTATATTGAAAATGTAAAAAAAATACACAAATCAGGCACTAAAAGTACAGATAACCTAATAAAAGGTTGCTCCACTAGTAGTAGAAAGTCTTCTTTGTCAATATTACTTCAGTCAAAGTATAAAAGTTGTTGTTTTTTTATTTACGTAAGGAATAATTCATGAGAACACACACGATACCGTTACTGGAGACTCTCTATAAATAAATCATTTGAATCACTGAGTTGTTTACTGCAGACTCACTCTGATTTGATCACTTGAATCACGGAGTTGTTTACCATAGACTCACTCTAAATGGATCATTTGAATCACTGAGTTGTTTACTGGAGACTCACTCTGAATGAATCATTTGAATCAGTGAGTTGTTTACCAGAGACTCACTCTGAATGAATTATTTGAATTAGTAAGTTGTTTATCATAGACTCACTCTCAATGGATCATGTGAATCAGTGAGTTGTTTACTTGAGACTCATTTTAAATGAATCATTTGAATCTGTATGTTGTTTACTGGAAACTCATTCTTAACGATTCATTTAAATCAGTGAGTTGTTAATTTGGAGATTCACTCTGAATAAATCACATGAATCACGCAGTTCTTTACTGGAGACTCTCTCCGGATGAATCATTTGAATCAGTGAGTTGTTTACCGGAGACTCACTCTTATTGGATCACTTGAATCAGTGAGTTGTTTACCATAGATTCTCAATGGATTATGTAATTCAGTAAGTTGTTACTTGAGACTCATTTTGAATGAATCATTTGAATCTGTGTGTTGTTTACTGGAAACTCATTCTTAATGATTCATTAAATCAGTGAGTTGTTTATTTGGAGATTCACTCTGAATAAATCACATGAATCAGTGAGTTGTTTACTTGAGACTCTCTGAATTAATCACATGAATCAGTGAGTTGTTTACCATAGACCCACTCTGAATGGATCATATGAATCAGTAAGTTATTAACTATTGATTCACTATGAATGGATCATATGAATCAGCGAGTTGTTTATTATAGATTCACTCTGATTGGATCACTTGAATTAGTGAGTTGTTTACCATAGATTCTCAATGGATTATGTAATTCAGTAAGTTGTTAACCATAGATTCACTCTGAATGGATCATATGAATCAGTGAGTTGTTTACCATAGACTCACTCTGAATGGATCATATGAATCAGTGAGTTGTTTACCATAGACTCACTCTGAATGGATCATATGAATCAGTAAGTTGTTAACCATAGATTCATTCTGAATGGATCATATAAATCCGTGAGTTGTTTACCATAGACTCACTCTAAATGGATCATATGAATCAGTAAGTTGTTAACCATAGATTCATTCTGAATGGATCATATGAATCCGTGAGTTGTTTACCATAGATTCACTCTGAATGGATCATATGAATCAGTGAGTTGTTTACCATAGATTCACTCTGAATGGATCATATGAATCAGTGAGTTGTTTACCATAGACTCACTCTGAATGGATCATATGAATCAGTGAGTTGTTTACCATAGATTCACTTTGAATGGATCATATGAATCAGTGAGTTGTTTACCATAGACTCACTCTGAATGGATCATATGAATCAGTAAGTTGTTAACCATAGATTCACTCTGAATGGATCATATGAATCAGTAAGTTGTTAACCATAGATTCACTCTGAATGGATCATATGAATCAGTGAGTTGTTAACCATAGATTCACTCTGAATGGATCATATGAATCAGTGAGTTGTTAACCATAGATTCACTCTGAATGGATCATATGAATCAGTGAGTAGTTTACCATAGACTCACTCTGAATGGATCATATGAATCAGTGAGTAGTTTACCATAGACTCACTCTGAATGGATCATATGAATCAGTGAGTAGTTAACCATAGATTCACTCTGAATAGATTATATGAATCAGTGAGTTGTTAACCATAGATTCACTCTGAATGGATCATATGAATCAGTGAGCTGTTTATTATAGATTCACTCTGAACAGATCATGTGAATCAGTGAGTTGTTATTTCGCATGTTTACACTGTTCTTCTGCTGGTTTGTCTGCTCAGTTCCAGGTGACGTCGGAGCATGCGCTCTTCTCCTGCTCGGTGGTGGACGTCTTTTCTCAGCTCAACCAGAGCTTCGAGATCATCAGGAAGCTGGAGTGCCCAGATCCACAGATTGTTGGCAATTACATGAAGAGGTTTGCTAAGGTGAAAAGCATTTATTTATGATCCTCATCACTAGAATGAACCCTTCCCACTTTGTAAAAGTAATTCAATAAATACTAGAAGTTTAATGAAATGTATTGTGATGCTACACTGTAAAAAGTACGTGTATATTAGCAGTTTTATGTTGTGACTCATGTTTTTATTTTTCCCCTGTTTATTTTTGCTTTTAAATTGAATTATGGGCGCTTTATCTTTCTTTCGGCAACTTTTAACCTTGAAATATTATGCTTGGATATGTTAACACAACTTAGCATGTTGTTCGTAAGAATATATTGTCAATGTTGTTGGTATGGATATATTGTTTGCATGAATTTACATTTCAAAAGCTTTTGGTAGCATGTATTAGCAGCATTTGCATACTTTTTCATACCAGTGAACTGAAATAACACTTTAAATTTTGCATTTTAATTATATTAGTCACAAATGACAAAACATGTTAAAGGTGCAGTGTGTAAGTTTGACACCCAGTGGTTGAACTAGGTATTGCACCCCTGGATCAAAACACACGCAAGCGCAGATTGCCAGATTGAGGAGTGAGTCTGACTATTGAGCCTAAAGGCTAATTTATTATTTAGTATTCTGAATAAAAGCAGCGGCATACGATAGAAGGAATATTCTCCATATTAAAAGGAGCTTTGGTCTAACCAACACCTGGAATTGATATATTAGAAACGGCTTCTGTTTCCGAACAACAGAAAACTTACCTAATTTATATTATTTGCTGATTAATAACCACCTCATGTAGAACTCTGAATCTGCATCTCATTTTGGAGTCTGCTACTGTCCACCTGAGGTTGGATTTCGGTCACAGACGCATGCTATGAGAGCCTTCCTGACTGAATGAAATACGCTGGTTTCCATCAAGGTAACCCGGGGTGCTGGAATATAATTGGCTAAACTGTCAGTGGGTGGGTTAAATGACCAAAACAAAGACAGACACTCCAGCACATAATGTACTTGTTTAAAGCAGAATATCTGACTTCAGCAGTGTTTTTCAGATAAACAAGAATGTTCACCGAACATGTTTCTGAAAACATATCTGAAACATATTACGGAAATTTTATGCTTTAGAAGAGGCAAAAACTGACATACTGCATTTTTAGTAATTAAGCAGCCATGTAAGTAATCAAGTGTAGTGTAATGAATGTAGAACTAAAAAAAAATAATAATAATAATATATGTATATATATATTGTGGAGGTGGAGGAGTTTAAGTATTTTGGGGTTTTGCTCATGAGTGAGGGAAGGATGGAGCGTGAGATTGACAGGCGGATTGGTGCAGTGGCAGCAGTAATGCGGTCTGTTGTGGTGAACAAGGAGCTGAGGCGAAAGGCAAAGCTCTCGATTTACCGGTCAATCTACATTCCTACTCTCACCTATGCTCATGAGCTCAGCTGAGGTGGCTTGGGCATCTGATTCTGATGCCTCCTGGACGCCTACCTAGGGAGGTGTTCCAGGCATGTCCCACCGGAAGGCGGCCTCGGGGAAGACCCAGGACATGCTGGAGGGACTATGTCTCTCGGCTGGCCTGGGAACGCCTCGGGATCCCCCCGGAGGAGCTGGAGGAAGTGTCTGGGGAGAGGGAAGTCTGGGGTTCTCTCCTGAGACTGCTGCCCCCGCGACCCGGCCCCGTAAAAGCGGATGAAAATGAATGAATGAATGAACTAATTAATCACACTTTTTTTGAAAATTAATTGCAATTATTCACATTTAAAAAACTGAAACTTGTAATTTTGGCTATTCAAATGTAAAATTAATGTAAACGCAAGACAAAAACTATTTAAATTCAAAATATAATTGCTTATTAGAATTTTTGTTTAACTCATAACACAGATTTCTTCATATAAACAGCAAACCCACAATAACCATCAACGTCCTGGCTGGACAGACATATTTATTACAGAAATTAAAAGGCATGTAAATGCCATTTAAATTTCACAACAATCAATGCCAATAAAGAAAACATTGATTTCCAAGTTGGATTCTAAGTGGACTGCAAAAAATGCCAAAATACAGGAATTACAGATATGGAAAATTATAATAACAATAAATTACTGAATAAAAACATTGTACTCTTTGTAAAGTTGTATGGCTGTGAGTTGAGAACATTATTTATAAAGTAGAAACAATTGTGCGTGCGTGCACACAGACCAGGGCCGTGCACAGGGGCGTGGCCCGATGGCTAGAGCCACTGCCCCTCTGCCCTCATTGGCTTAGGTGCCTCTCTCAGGAGGCACTTGCACTTCACTTTGCGATCGTGTTGCAGCACCTGCCCCTGTAAGGGTCTGTGCACAGGCCTGACACAGTTGGACACACACACAGACAGACACACACACATAACACCCGCAGGACTGCGCAAGGATCGACTCCCTTCAGATTCAACACTCATGATCGCGTTCATCAAATTTGCTTTAAGTAAGCGTTCTAAAGTATATCTGTATTTCACAAGGATTCTGACACATCAATGTGAAGCAGACACTTTGGTTGCGTTTACAGAGGAAACACGTCAAACTTACTGAAACATTGGAGGGCTCATGCTGAAAGGCATTGGAATAGGCTACGCTGGCTTTGACAGCTCGCAACTTCACCTGACACTTTCTAAGTACATTTACATAAGACACCAATTCTCTGATTTTAATATGTTTAAGATAATACTCTTATTAAAAGTCTACCATGTAAGCAGCGATTTAAATAAGGACCACCGAGTCACGAAACGTTTTTCTTTTTCGTTCGCCATGCGGTATCAAATTACATTCCATTAGAAGTTGAAAGTTAAAAATGAAACACCCGAAATTGCATGAAACTCTTGAGCAGTGGTTCTCAAATTTTTTTCATCAAGTACCACATCAGAAAAAAATTGCCTCTTCAAGTACCACCAAAATGAGCAGTATTGAAATATAGTAGCGTAGTCGGCCCAGTAAAGCCAGTTACAGCTCTGCACAGTTAAAAAATGTGGCAGATTACCTTAGAAATATAGGCTATATGTCATATATGGCTTATTATGTACATCATTTTTGATAAATTTTGAAATGTGTGTAGCATGTACATGACATATTTAATTCCTCCGCGTACCACTAGAAGGAAGCCTGCGTACCACTAGTGGTACACGTACCACAGTTTGAGAACCACTGCTCTAGAGGAAACGCTGGAGAGCCTGGTGATGCGGCATTAATTCTTTTATACTGAAACTTGCCTTCAAAAAGGGCTTCCTTGGTCTTATCCATATTTCTTTGCATGTTTACCACATGTCAGCCACAACAGGAAGTTAAAAAAACCTGCAACTGCGTTAATTGCGTTAATTTTTTTAACACGTTAAATATTTCAAATTATTTGCATGCATTAACGCACTAATTTTGACAGCACTAAATATATATATTTATATACAGGGCTTTACATTAACACCCGCCAACCCGCGGGTGTAAAGATTTCAGCGGTGGCGGGTAAGACAGACACTCCCACTAGCCACTTTGGCTGGTTGAAAATAATTTCCACAGATAATAATTCTTAAAAGCAGGGTTCGACAATAATGATGGTCCAATATGCATGCACAGGCGATCGAGAAGCAACACGACTGACAAAAAAATGCGTTCGCAAATTCACACGAGAAAAACAGGTGAATACCGAATGAGAGGATAATCACTCGCGGTTACAGTTGAGGTGATGCGCGCGACTGTTTATAACGCGTGCGCGCTCCCGTTTCCTTTTGTGAAGCAACTGTGTCTAGAAAAACAACTGATGCGATTGATTCTCTTTCAAATAGACTGAATAAAAAGGGAGAAACATGCACCCACAGTCCTGCTGCTTTCCAGAGTTCCAGAGTTGACTTATTGTAGGCAGCGCCAGTTGCTTTCGGTTTAATCATTCTTTGAAAAGATCATTTATGGGTCTATCATTAACCAAGTGTGTGTGATCATCCTTTCATTATCACACTGTATGTTTTTTACCTGCTGTCTTTTGCATTAATATGGTTTAATTATCATTTTTACAATAACATTGCTTTAATGGGAGAATAACTCCCCATTTATGTGTAGTTAACTGGTGATCTGGGACCTTTAGCCAGGACACATGACTGTGCATATGTTTTGTTAAATAAAAAGTTTAGTATTCAGCTATGTTTTGCACGTTTTTACACATTTAAATTCTTTGGCTAAGAAATAATGAACTGTTTATGTATGGTGTGGTCAGAGATAAATTGGGTAAATCCTTAATTTTTGGCTCTGAAAATTATGAAAACTAATTGTAATATATGATACCCTGAGCCATCTGCTCATGATTATTGAGCAAGCACAAAAAAGTGAAATGAATGAGGAGGCATGTAGAGATAACACAAACTCTAAATCAAGTAATTTTAGCATGTTAAAGTCATATTTATGTGTATAAAATATATTTCCCCAACAATAAAATTGTGGCTAGTGAAAATGGCGAGTGGCTTGTAATGTTGGAAAACTACTAGCCACAGTGGCTGGTGGTCAAAAAAGTTAATGTTAAGCCCTGTATGTATATATGTATATATAAACATTCAGCATTAAAATTCAGATATCTCAGATTTATGTCATATAATCTCATTGTTCTTTCTTTCAGACCATCGGAAATGTTCTTCTGTCATACGCCGACATCATTACCAAGGATTTCCCCACTCACTGCAAGAAGGAGAAAGTGGTGCGTCACAATCATGTGTTCACACTCATGATATCAATATCAATGTGTGTGATTTAATGTCATTGACCGTCCTGTTCTCTGTTGTTTTCAGCCCTGCATCATCATCAATAATATCCAGCAGCTGCGCGTTCAGCTGGAGAAGATGTTTGAGGCCATGGGAGGGAAAGACGTGAGTTCATCAATGCATTTACTCATTAACTGATTACAGTAACACTGCATGTGTCACAAATGAGTGATTCTTATACTGAAGGGCTGTTGGATCCTTGATTCTGATTGGCTGCTGAGCGTTCTAAGGTGTGCTGTTATTTTCAGATAAACACGCACAGATAAAGTAGTTCCGGCAGGTTCGTTCATTCATTTTCTTTTTTGGCTTAGTTCCATTATTAATGTGTGATCGCCACAGTGGAATGAACCGCCAACTTATCCAGCATATGTTTTATGCAGCGGATGCCCTTCCAGCTGCAAACCATCACTGGGAAACAACCACACACTATCATTCATACTCATACTCTATGGCCAATTTAGCTTACCCAATTCCCCTATAGCGCATGTGTTTGGACTTCGGGGAAAACTGGAGCACCCGGAGAAAACCCATGGCATCATGGGGAGAACATGCAAACTCCACACAGAAATGCCAACTGGCCCAGCCGGGACTCAAACCAGTGAACTACTTACTGTGAGGTGACAGCGCTACCCACTGCGCCACCGTACCACCCGGCAGCTTTATATATGGGAAATCGGGGCACAAAGAAACACTTTTTGGTTTCAGCTAAACAAAGTAATGGGGTTCGACAAACCCAGCAACACGCAAGCCTCTCCTACAAATGAGCACTGAAATTATAATCGCCGAATCTATGGGTTCTGTCCAGTATTGCCGAAAGTGCCAGGAGTAAAAATGTTACTATTTACCCCACCTGCGGGGCAAGTTGTAACAGACAGAGGGTTAGTTGTAACACATGCTTAACGGGTCATAAACCCCCCTGTCTGAGCAGGGTGTTTTCAAACCTCTAGTTTGGAAAAAGTCAGGAAAGTGGGTGTGTCCACTTTCCAGCTCTGTCCAGCTCTGTTTAGGTGGAAGTGTCCGGGGAGGAAAAAGGGAAGATTTTGCATAAAAATGGGAGTTTCCATTTGGGCACGCGCTGATTTTCACAGTCATGTGATGCATTTCGATTAGCGCAAGAAAGTAATCAAATCGTTTGTTGCAACATCAAAATCCATCCCTGCAAAGGCGAAACAAATGATGACAGAGAAGTTAAAAAAGCAAATGTGGACTGCGGTCAGGCCAGACGCCAGTTCAATAAGAACGGTCATTCTAGCCACCAGTGTATTTCGGTGGTGTCTCCTACACTGTGTATTACGGTAGAGCACTAAACAGCAATGTACAGCAAGCTGACAGGGAAGATGACGAGGTGACTCGCTACATTAAAACCGCTGTCATGGAAAATTAAACGAGTGTTCTTGGCTGGTCGAAGACCCAAAACCAAAACCTGCTAAATTAGCCTGATCAGAACTCTGCATCTCGGCCAGCAGCAGTGAAAGGGTGTTCAGTAGGGATGTAACAATATTGTAAATACCGTCATACCGCAATAGTAATTATTTTCAATATTACCGTAGGCGCATGACTCAATAAAACTATATTACTGAGAAAAGTTTGCTCAGGCGAATGAAGTGAACGGGAGGTAGCGGGAACTACAATTCCCATCAGCCCAGGCGTGGCCATCATCCTTTGCGGTCTGTTGTCACTGCAGATCCAGTAATGTGGAAATGGAGTGTGCTGCTAGTAGCGGGAAAGAAAAAGAGCTGGAAATGATCGAACCTAAAGCGGGTTTGAAATCAGATGTGTGGAAGCATTTCGGTTTCTTTCTAAAAAGATACGAGAAAGGAGAAAAGGTGACAGACAAAGAAAAAACAGTATGCAGGCACTGCCAGACTGTGGTGAAATATAAGTCGGGGAACACGACTAATAACAGTCATGGGGACTGCAGAACAGCACACTTGTTAGATTGATGCAGACATTGACTTGTACCGCAGAGAGACCTCTATCTCACTTATGGCTTGTCCTCTCAAGTGGTGGAAAGACAATGCACAGCGTTACCCACTGCTGTCAACCTTGGCTAAATCATATCTCTCTGTCCCAGAAACCTCAGTCCCAAATGAGAGGGTTTTAATAATTTAAATAATTTAATAATTTTCCTTTAAAAACCCATCTCTATCTAAGTGAGTGAGTGATTAAATGTTGAATGTGACGAGTTTTCAACAATACTAAATTGAAACTTTATGTTTTATATGGTTTAATAGTTTTTTGTTATTAAAATTGAAAAATTGAAGTTCGAAAACTTACAGATAGACGGCTGATTTGTATGTCATTGATATGTTCAGTGCTAAGGTAAATAAACACTTTTGCCACTTTTTTCGAGTCTTTTCATTAGTTTTGTTTTTCCTTTAATTTATTCAATAAATACCGAACCGTGACATTCACACCGAGGTATTATCGTACCGTGAAATTCTGATACCGTTACATCCCTAGTGTTCAGTGCTGCTGGACGCACCATCCTGAGCGCAGGACTGTGCTAAAGCCTTCTATAGTGGATTCAATAATGTTCCTCCACAAAAACACGTAGACTAATCTTGGTGAGTAAAGGGTTTTTAAAGTATAAATAAATATTAATTAAACTATGAAATCATAATGTAGTCAGAGTATACAGGCTAATGTTGGCATTATTATTCAGCTTCACCGTCGCCTTAAGGCCAGATTGTGCAGAGAAGTGGCGAAACAAACCCCGCAGAGCCTTTATCTTAATTTTATTATTTGCCAAATACCCGTCATCATTTATATTTTATTTTAATTTAATTTGTTAAGAAAGACTTCTTTTCATTGGTGTGTTGGCCAATTTTATGGCTAAGTGTATGGACATAGGCCTATTTAGAGTGCTGACATGTTACGATGTTACAGAGGACTTATTTCATTTCTTTGTTCCAACTTCCAAGTGGCCTATAACCTATGTTTGTTACGAATAAATTATGTTAAAACATATAAATTACTCATTCTTGAAAAAAGGCAAAAGAGTTATTAGGCAAAAGAATTATACATGAAATAGGGTCATATCTTGGTTGTAAGGGTCTACAACAACAGTTTAATATGCATGCAAGGTCAAAAACACTTTCATGGTCTCATAATCTGCATTTATTTTTACCTAATTATCCCAGCGACTCCCGTATGAATCGTCCAGTGATTCATTTATTCCCAAACCCCTCCCTAGCGCCAAGCTAATCTGCACTGATTGGACCAATGACAGTCTGCTGCGATTGGTCGACACTGACTGCTTTCAGCCAGAGACAGAGTGAAATGCCCAGCAGCTAATCAACAAAATAGAAGTAGTCACAGAGCATACACGCTCGATAGTGTAAGGCGTGGAGTTTAGCTGCTAGTGGATGAATGTAAACACAGACGATGGACTTGAAAATACAGACGACTAACTATTTTATTGAGCAAAAACTCCCAAGAACTGGCAAGGAGATCTCCTAGCTTGTCACATTCTGCTCTTTTCACAGACACACACACACATATTGCCCTCGTCCTTGCGCACGCGTCCACACACACACACACACACAGACATAACCCTCCTCCAGACGACATCGCGCGCACGCACGCACACACACACACATTACTCTCCTCCACGGGAACAAAAGCAGCACGCGTCGCGTTTTTAAAGTGGCTTTGCACGCGATATGTAATGTAATGTGTATTTATATAGTGCATTTATTGTGTATGGCCATAAACCCAAAGCGCTTCACAATCATGAGGGGGGTCTCTCCACACCACCACCAGTGTGCAGCATCCACTTGGATGATGCGACGGCTGCCACAGGACAACGGCGCCAGTGCGCTCACCACACACCAGCTATTGGTGGAGAGGAGAGGCAGTGATAGAGCCAATTCGGTGGAAGGGGATGAATGGGAGGCCATGATGGTATGGGCCGATAGAGGGACTTTGGCCAGGACACCGGGGTTACACCCCTGCTCTTTTACGAGAAGTGCCATGGGATTTTAATGACCACAGAGAGTCAGGATCTCAGTTTAACGTCTCATCCGAAAGACGGCACCCACTGACAGTATAGCGTCCCCTTCACTATACTGGGGCATTAGGACTCACACAGACCACAGGTTGAGCGCCCCCTGCTGGCCTCACTAACACCACTTCCAACAGCAACCTAGTGTTCCCTAGTGGCCTCCCATCCAGGTACTGACCAGGCTCAGCCCTGCTTAGCTTCAGTGAGTAACCGGTCTTGGGCTCCAGGGTGACATGGCTGTATCATGAGAATATAGCCAGTTAACCTGATACAGTACACGCGGTTACAAGTAACAAATCACAACTAAATACATTTGCAAGCTAGAGTAAACGAGGCAACAACTTTAATCGCACATACTTACACTTGAGACATGGAGGAAGAAACCGATGCATGTCCTGACATGTCCAGTCTTTACTGATCCTTCCTTTAACAAATGAAGTATTCTTTGTAGCATGTAGTTTCCAGAAGTTTCCAACTGCTTGGTTATAATGCTGAGGTTTCATCTTTGGGTAGAGACTCGATAATATCCATCTGCAGTGTGACTTCAATCGACCGGCATGTTTGTGTGTGTGGGTGGGTTTCTGCGTCAGAGGGTGGGGCCACAGGTTTCAAATCTCCCGGGTTTGCGCGTGCACGTGAATAACTTGGTTTCGTTCGTACGTCATGGCGAAACACCTAATGACTCGGTATCAAGGCGACTCGTTTGAAGCACTATGAGTCGACTCTTTTATAGATGAATCAACCGTTTTAAACACTGTACTCTTACAGATTTAAGCCTTAGCTGGATACTTCACTTCACTTAGAGCTGTGTTATGTAGGGTCCAGCCAGATGGTACAATGACGGTGTCCACTGGTGGATGAAGGTTCACTGCATGTTCGGTCTTTCCAGTGCACATTGTTGATCTATATTAAACTTAACTCATATCTGACTCCTATTTTAGTATGAGGTGGTTTAGAATATTAATATGTTTATCCTCGTTTTATCTGACTCCAATTATAAAACATTGAGAAGATTATTTTGTTTCCTTTCACATTATTTTAGATTATGATTGAATATTCTTTTGATTTGTTATTATACCTTATTCTCATTTATTCAGATTCCTATAGCATCCCGAGTCTTGCACCGGCCGGGTATACAATCTCCTAATACAAGCTTGTCAGTCTATGTCATTAAACAGAGGCGATTAACCACTCTCCTAAAACGGCAGAACCCTACATTACTCAATTTAGGAGATTTTTACGTGGTCCCCATAGATCTGTTATCTACTTAATCAAGACAAAGTATTTTAATAATAATCGCACAGGATTATAAGTTTGTAGATGAAGGCCTAAATACCCACATTTAGATTAGTTTCAACAATATTTTGTTCTAAATAGAAAACCCATTGTTGGCCTTTTACAGTCTAAGTATACTTGAATTAATGCCAATGTGCTAGTTGGATCTCTAACAACATTGTATAGCGTGCCACGCTGCTCCGTCTAACATGTTTTAGTCCGTTACTAACCTGTACAGGGGCTTGTAGTGCTATGGACAACAACATTTACCAGTGATAATAACACGAGGACTGTTTGAATAATTCAAATCATAACAATTTATTAGTCAGGTAAATAAGTATTATGCCAAATTCATTCAGACTATTCATAAATGATCAATATAAGACATCAAATTATCAAAGACAAATCCAAGATGAAAAGATGCATTCCTGACTTCAAAATATACATAACATGGAGCGTAAGCTACGGGCTGATCTGGGTAAGCAGAATCGCGCAGAGCATTTCTTAAACCTTACCTTAAGTAATTCAAGAATCCCCTCAAGGAAAGGGGTGTGTGCATAACAAAAGGCATTTGCATTTAGTGCTGCCTGTGGAAAAGTCACACCCTTCACAGTGGTTCAAAAGATGCCTGAAGTTATATATTTATTGTTTTGATTATGTCTGTTTCTGAGAGAATGAGACCATTGTACCAATCGCACTGAGACATTTCAAATGATATCAAACATGATAGATAAAGTCAGTTTGGTTAATCTAGAACATTCAAACATTGAAATGACCATATGTGTGAGTTGGGGTGGTTGAAGTCGAGTTTCAGCAGACTCAGATGTAAATGTAGCAGGAGCTGGTTTTTCCCGCATTCCCACCTGCTGGGTTGTGGAGTCAATTGGCCCTGTTTTCAGCTCATGTTTGAATTGTCAAAGACATCAAAAATATTTGTAATATATCAATTCTTACAGTTACACACTACATGGAGTTGCATTTTCAAAAACCCATAATATGGGCTCTTTAAATAATGTCGGGCTTTAAACGGGTTCGGACTTTATAAAGCTGTCAATCAAAATGTATCTGTGAGGCTCGGGCTGAATTCTTACAGGCTCGGACGCTATCGGGTCTAATTTTTATGGCTCGATTACAGCTTTATCCTGCGCTCCCCTACCCATCAAAAGTGTACAGAGTACAGATCAACATCCCATAATACAATTCACAACCACCGCAAATAAACCCAAAACATGGAAAAATATGGAAACTGTTCATTAACAGTTATTGTTACAGTGTGTGTTCGTCCATAAATCTCTCATATTCACATCCTTCCCATCATTCATTCATTCATTGATTCTGGCCAGCAGTAAAACATCCCACGCTTCCCTCTTCAGCTCAATATCTGACTCATTTCTGCTTCTCTTCCTGCTCAGCATCAAACACACACCGTTCAGCTCCAGTCAGACACATTTAACAGCACACATCATCATTCTCGCATTCACTCTGCATTCGCATTGACGTCATGCATCTGCAATCATAAACGCTCCCTGACAAACAATCCCATCCATGAATATTCATGAGCTGATGCATATTTGATATGCATTATGAATGTCGGCTGGATTTATTAGTCTGCAGGATTCCCAGCAAACTCCCATTACTCGCTGAGTGTTCAGCAATCTCAGCGCATGCTCAACATGTGTGTTGGATTTCACAAGGGGGCGGAGTCTTAGTGCTAAACAGATTCCATTGGCTGGAAGTAATTGATGTCATCAGTTTTTAAAGTTATCGAATGCTTTCATTATAGATCTGTGCTTTCTTAAAGTGACAGTGCTCTTATTTAATGTAATCAAAGCACAGATCAGAATGTACGATATTCATGTGCTTCTCCTCACTAAATAATAATAATAATCAGTTTAATCAATATTTAAATTATACAGTGAAGAAAAGGTTCATGAGAATTGATTACTTGATTTAATTGCTGCATATTAGGCCATTCATTTGATCAATTAATTAATAATACCATTAGTTTTATTATAATAAAACCATATTTCTGTTTCAACTTTATTTATTTTCATTTAAACTGCTCTGAATTATGAATGTTAGCTGGCTTTAATAGTCTGCAGGATTTCCAGCAAACCTCTGTTACTCACTGAATATTCATTACCTCATTTATCTCAGCGTTTGCTCAGTCTGCTAAAGATGTTTGCTGAATTTTAAGAGGGGGCGGAGTCTTAGTGATGCACAGATTCCATTGGCTGGAAACAAGCAGTGTGATGTCATCAGAGTGGATGGCATAAAAGTCTAGACTCAGTTCATTCTGCAGCACTTTATATCATACAGATTATTTTTAATCAAAGATTGTTTTTAGCTGCACAGAAATAAATAGGAAAGTAACAGCACTGATGTGTGTTATAAATAAATGTGTTAATAATTTAGCCATTATTAAGCAACTTTAATTTGAGTTTTTTAACACTCATTAGATGAAAATAAAATACAATTCACCCTTTAATTCTCCCAGTGCTTATGCTAAATTTCATAACCCCATGAAGATTATGTGAAATAATTTAAACTAAATAAGGAATGTAATACAGAATGCATGCATGTTATTTTTTTTATTCAGTCCTGCTCTAAGATATTTTAAATAAACTATGTTTTAATACAGTCCACAAGTCTTTCAGGTGACCTATTTTGACCTGGAAGAAAATTAAAAGAGTTTTAATTTAGGAACATTTTATTTTATTTTGTATTTTATTTTATTTGTTGTTTATTTTTTTTGTCTTTTATTTTGTATTTTGTTGTATTTTATTTTATATTGTATTTTACTTTATTTTGTATTTTATTTTATTTTTTGTATTTTTTTTGTATTTTATTTTAATTTGTATTTTATTTTATTTTATTTTGTTTTGTATTTTATTTAATTTTATTTTATATTTTATTTTGTAATTTATTTTTATTTTGTTTTATTTCATTTTTTATTGTATTTTATTTTATTTAGTTTTTTATTTTATATTATATTTTATTTTGTATTTTATTTGTATTTTATTTCATTATATTTTATTTGTATTTTATTTTATTAAATTCGATTTTTATTTTTTATTTATTTTTTTTCTACTTTATTTTGTATTTTATTTTATTATATTTAATTTTTTTATTTTATTTTAATAAATTCGATTTGTATTTTATTTT